CCAAGAAAGAGGTTAATTTTTTAGTTCTAGCTTTCTAGCATCATTATGGTGGCTTTAAAACACAAGCCTGGAGATGACTGTTGTAGCACATTTGCCTCGTGTTCATGTTCACACCAGGTCCTGCCCTTTCTCCCAGCTGCTGTGTGAACACTGTATCACTGTACTGAGGGTGACCAGGGGAAAGGTGTTTCATTTCACTGCTGCGATTGAAAACTTTCTTAGAAGCTTGAGGTGGGGAACTTTTGAGGGACTCACTTTCTTCATTAAACTGTAGGTTAATTGTGCATCCCAGTGCTTTATCAAGGGCATCACCCTGTCATTTTCTGTTTCCTACACGTTATTTCTAGTAATACTTCTGAGAGAGCTACCTCCCTCCTAATTTCCACTTCTGAAGGTTAAGAATAAGATCTTTACACACTGTTCCTCAGTACGAGGAACAAAAGCAGTGTTTTTGGCTAACACCTGCACTACAAAGTTGTGAGTTGTATTAACCCTCCATGTTTTCAGGGTGAAATACAACCTAGGTGTGGCATGTGACAAGTGATTTGGGCTGTTACCTGAAGTCCTTCAACTTTTTGATTAAATTTCCATGTGGCCCCAAGATTAAGAAGAAAGTAGCATAAAACAGTTAAGTTACGAATTTGAGGAAGCTTGAAATACTGCTTATGGAAACTAGGGCCCTCATTCCAGGTGTTGGTGTTCACTCAGGAATGACACTGGTTACCTGGAGGTCTGATATATAGCCACCTGCTAGCAGAAAAACCTACTCAGCAGCGAGTAGCTTGATAACTCCCTCCACCACAGATGAGCACAAGGTGGTGTGCTTCATGAGCTTTACTCCCCTTTTTGCATCTAATGAATAATGTAAGCAGTTTTTCATTGCTACTTACTGTTCAATGAATAGAAGAATGATGTGTGACCTGAATAAATATTTAGGTGTACTAGTGTCTGTGAAATTTTCTTTTTGCTATAAAATGCATTTAAGAATTCACCAGGCAATTCAGAAAGGTTAAAGCAGTGAACTGGGATTGTCCCAGAGTATATGATGGAAAACATATTTGTAGTTTACTCAGGTTCTTCTTTAATATATAGGTTAAACAAGTTTCTGATGAATAATGACACCTTCATACATTTTAGATTGCAGGTGACTTTGTTAAATGTCAGCCAGGCCATACAAAAACGATATGGGAGTGGGTACAGTAATGTGGGCAGTTACGTGTGGAAGTCTGGATGCAGAAGATGAAAGAAGGCCACAGTGGGACTAGTTTGAACATGGTAGATCATAAATTTGTTCAGTTAATGCCAAGAGAAAAATGGGGAATGGGCACTTCTCCAAACATGGGGGATGAAACTATTTAATCTAATTGTGGAAGTATAGCAAGGACAGATATCTTACCCTTTCGAGCACTTAACTAGGGATTTTCTTCAGGATGGGATGTTTGTGACAGCGATTCACTCTGTCCTAAGCCTAAAGCTGCATTTATCTTAGACCCAGTGAGCTTTATAGTGCTGGTACTTGTTTGGTTTTGATGCTTTTGCCAAGAGAAATGTTTGCCTCTGTGGTTTATAGGTGGTGCAAGACGCTTCTGACAAATAGCTGTTGCTGTGGATCTTTATCTGCAGATGGTTGATGTATCATCTCCCACAGCCCCTGCTCATTCTTCATCCAGGAAGACAGAAAGTGAAAGATGACTGCATCAAACATTTTCTCTATATTACTTTACCTGATTGTTTCTTCCAGTGCATCACATTTAGTTTGTTAAAACCTATGATTTTCTGAATAGTACTCAAAAGAGCAGAACTTCTTTCCTCTAAAGGGATTTTTTGCCTCCTGCAATTCTTAATGTTGTTTTTACTCATCTTAATGTCCATTTTTGGATCAATGTTATGCGTTTGAGGTGCACAGTGAAAGCACAGCTGCTAATTCGTTCTGGCAAATTGGCTGGAAATTGCCAGGTACTGAGCACTCCCAGACGTTTTAATGGAAAGTTTCAGCTGGACTGTCTCAAGGGCATGCTTATTTTGTTTAAACTGGTTCAGTAATTTTAAATCATTTGAGAAGCTCTTGGCCTGTTACCTTTTCAACTGCAGATTCTAAAATATGTTTGTCTCTTGTTAGTATTTTTTATAAACAACTACTAAATAAACTGGCCATTTCTAAAGTACAGTAAGAGTATTTGAAATTGGTGGTAACTTTAAGAAGCAGGAAAATCAAGCTGAGATTTGTTTTGCTGTTATGCTAAATTTCACTTTGTGGTTTTGTCTCCTAGTTCATTATAGGAAAAAAAAATATTAGGTTGGCAGCAACATAAGGAAGAGATCCAGTGAGGTATCTTTTCCATTCTCTCTTAATGAGCAGTGTAAACCCCTGTACCACCAGGTTGCCTGTGTGTGTGAAGCTGTCTGATCAGGGGGCTAGAAGCCATCCTGTCTCTCACAAGGCAGGTTGGAAGGTTGAATTGTCCCACAACAAAACTGTGTTTCAGTCTCTCTTCCGTGCAGGAGCACCTGTACCGTGGAGTGCGTTGGCCGGTCTGTTTACTCTGGGCATCCGAGCCTGACCATGTTATGGCATTGGGGATAATTGGGAGCCCATATATGGGTAATCATCTCTTCTAATCAAGGCTTTAGAGGAAAGCATCTGCCAATTTAGGGATGAGGAGTAGATCCAGAGTAGCATCTGCCGGTGACCAGCCATGAGAGTCACTCTCTGCCACTGAGGTCAGTGCAGTGAGGGCACAGATCTGCTGACTGCTGTGGATACGTGGTAGTGGTGCAGCATCTTTTAAACATTTAGCAACCAAATAAACAGAGTTTTGTCAAAAGTTTTGCAGCTCAGAGTTTGTCACAAAGAACAACTGCCTAAACTCTTACGCTTTATAGAGCATGATGAGATATTTTAGCGTTTGCAGTGTTTTCTGTGTTTCATATCTCTTAAAAGGATATGCATGAAGATATGTACTGAAAGATGTGCAAGTTTTGGTTCCTTTTGGTATTTATGGAAGGAGGCATCCAACTTTGGAGTGGGTTCTGGAATAATGTGTACGTGTGCCATAGACTGCATGGGAGGAGTAATCTGCAAAGGAATTTTGGAACAAGCAACGCTGCAAACAAAGTAATCTGGGACTAAGTAACAGTGTATTGGTCCAGTTCCACATCCATGGAGGATACCTGCCCATGTGGGATGTTAAATTCAGACCCCTGTCCGGAAAGCAGACAAAGATGGACTTGAGCATGGCCTAAGCACTCAGACAACAAGGGTAGCTGTCTTAAAGGGCAGAACTCAAAGAACAACCCCTTGGCAGGGGCATTACTACCTTGAGTGGTTTGTGGATCTGTAGAAAATGCTGCACCACAGTTAGAAACTTGTGGTCCAAGTAAGCCAGTGTTTCATTAAACACATCTGTTGAATTTCTTGAGAGAAATCTTGATGCCACTGAAATCGATAGCAAAACCTCCTCTGACTTTTACTCAGAGCAAGATTTCTTCTCTCTTTTTTGGTAAGTACACAGAAACAGTAACACAAAGGCCAAGGTTTTCAAAATTACCAGCAGGACTTAAAGTACCCTGAAAACATGAATTGTGGGTGTTTGTTTCCCCTGGGCAGCCTATGCAGTCTGAACTCTATGTTGATGTGAAACCGTGATGAAATATTAAAGACCCTCAGAGTGAGGACACGCAACGTTCACTGCATGTGGATTGCTGAGCTGGCCACTCAGCAGGGCCAAGCCCTCGTCTGGCAGTGCATAGAGCTACAAATCCAGGGTATGAGATTTGTAGTTTGCCTGCAGTTGGTATTTGCCTTGCAAAAAGAATTGGAGTTGCAGAATTAGCAGACATAAACAAAAACCATGAAGGAGAAGTGCACGCAGGCACCCCAGGGTTGCTGACATTGAGTCAGGCTGCCCAAGGGCACAGCTGAGTGAGGGTACAAATAAACTGTGTACAATGATGAAGTTATTTTTTCACACATGAATGCTTTTTGATCTTTCCAACAGAAAACCAGGTGAGATTCTCAGTTAGTGAAATGTCAGATTAGAACCATGGCACAACCTAATTGAGCATTGGTCACATGAACATACTGATAGTAACTGCTGAACAGCTTTTGTTTTCCCCTCCCTTCATTCTAATCCATTTGTTGCTGTTACAGCGTAACTCTCTGTCTTTGAAACAACACAACTTGTGTTTAGGAATTTGGTGAGGATAGGACTGAGTTCAATTGTGAACTGTAAGAGGTGTATCCATCTGCTGGAGATTATCAACTACCATAATGCTACCCATGTTCTTTAGGTTGATAGGGCAGGCTTTTAATTTCCCCAGCTCACAAAAAATGCTCCCGTCGTAACAGAATGCAGCAAGGGACCCAAAGAGAGGAATGTAACATCTGTCTCTTTTCCCTCATTCCAGGGTTCATAAAACTGTTCTTGTCTTATTACAACAGAGGAAAGCCAACACTTGAAAGTTTTGTAAATGATCTAAATCAGTCCTTGTTCTGAGCTGCTCTCAGGGCTGTAGATGTTTGGTAATTTTTTTTTCTAGCAGAGACTTTTTTTGTAAAGGAGAGAAGAGAGGAAAATTCTCTACAGTCCAGCATGGAGTTGGCTGTCCACACAAATATTTGTGCTGGGCTATTAGAAACAGGTGCTCTTCAAACTCTAAAATAGCTCCAATTTTTCCATTTGGAACAAGAGTGAACTATCACTGTTTCTACCAGTCTTGAGCAATGTCTTCCAGGTTGAGTCTGACTGGGACATCATTCTCCTGTCGTGGTCTGGTGGCCTCGTCTCTCAAGGGTAATGCTATTTGGTTAGCCATTCCTTTGCTGAATCACAAACTGACTTTGTGTTTCTTCCTCTGCCCTCTTCAGTCCCAGTTTCAAAATCTGAACAAAGGTAATAATTCCTACTGCCAAACTTCCACGAAAATAAAACGAAGAGAATTCTGGAGCTGTGAAAAGTTACTAAAAAGCCATTTCCATTCTCTTCTCCCATTTGTGCCAGAGGATCTGTGTGGTCTTTGAGTGCAGGCTCCAAGGTGTACATTCAGAAAGACAGCCTGTCCTTTACATATTGTTCTGCAGCACAGAGTAGTAATGGTAAATGTGTATTTTCACTTTCCTCAGCCTGTTCATTGAGATTGCAAAGTAATATGTGTTTGTAAATCCCATCCATGTCTTTGTGAAAGGGGAGACATTTACTGTTTTCTACCTATGTTCATAGAAAAGAATTAAAAAATAATCCTATCTGAAGTACCTAAATGATAGAAAATTGTTTTCATTTTTTGTGTGCTCGAATTGTAGGTTTTTTTAATATATATTTATTGTGCTAACAATACAGTTCTCCTAATTAATATTAATCATTAAGAAATAGGAATTGTCTTAGTGGTTACCTTGCTCCCAGACTAGGACCTAGTTAGAATTTATTGCAAAAGGTGATAAAACTTTGAAATCTGAAGTGTTGCTGTTTGCAGACCTTGTACTTGCTGACTTCTTTCATGTCATAAATGTTGCTAGCCTGGCCAAGTGTGGTAGATCAACTTTAATCTCTGGAATGGCCCACACCTTGTATCCTCTCAATCTACAATAAAGAGAGTGAATAACTGATTTCTGTGTATCTTCAAATTAAGTTTAAAAAAATATAGTTAACATGGAGGTCAGCTACTGAGCAAGGATACTTTATCCCTCCAAAGAAGAAGGATTAAGGACAAATACACAGAAGCATTGCCAATGCTTCCTTTGATTTTGGACTTGTTATTGTTTTTCTCTTTGTTTCCAGGTATGGGTAACATAAGACCTGCAATTATGAGAGCAAAGAGAATGAGAGAATAAATTAATGAGAGCAGAGGTTAAATTAACATAGCCAGTGTCACCGAATGACACACGTGAAAATTCACAGCTGACAGAAAACTTCCTGCTGCTGGAGGGAGACAGTCATTTAGCCAGGCAGTTCCTCAGTTTTGGGTGAGTGAGTATTTTGTTGAATTTATTGAGATAATATTTTATTGCGAGGAGGGATCACTCAGTTTGGTGAAAGCTGTGTGCCACATGCAGGTGGGAGAACTCAACAGATGTGGCAAAAGACAAATGCTCCTGTTCAGTCAACAAAGGCATCATTGAGGTGTCAAGGCCTTGGGCATCTCTTAGCACTACTGATACTGATAGCTAACTTCTTTTGGCAACAAAATGGTGATGTGATCAAGACAAGGGAATTTCTGTCGTGCAGACTGTCTTAACAGTGAGGAGGACCAATGTCTAGAACTTTCACTGGAAGACCAACAATCACACTTAGAGGTGTGATATTGGGTCTATACATTGTTTATATGTAATTTATACAGTAAATTACCGAATTAGAGAGTTTTGTCAGGTGGAGAACTACACAAAGCAAAATGGCAGGACACATTCTCAGCAGGTGCACAAGAGCAATTATTTGCTCTGACAGCAGTTGGGTTTTCTAAAATACGTCCAACACACTGTGTGGCATTTATTTTTCTGCCAGATTAATTATGTAGCTTCCCTTTTCACCCTGCCATCACCAGTGGTATTTTATCCAGGGATGAGCCTCCAGCTGGGCTGGCTGGCTCAGGTGAGCCATGCCAGGGGGTTGGGCAGTCCCTGTGTGCTGTTCCTGAAGCCAGGGTAATTCCTGCTCCCTACCACAGTTCCAGCTCTTCTGTTTTCAGGGTTGTGTTTTCCAGGGTGTATGGCATGTCCATTCAACTTGCATGGCAGATCTGTTGATGTAGAGATGTCAGAGCAGTCCTCTGTATAGCTTGGGGAAAGGACATTTCATTTGACATCCCAGAGTGCCACAAAGCCACAGCTGTGCTTCGCTTGGTATCCAGCGTCTGCTTCGGGAAGCACAAGGGCAGCCTTCCAAAGCTGAGGAAACCACACTCCATGCCATGTGAGTTCCCTGTGCCATGTCTGAGGATTTGGTAATATGTTCTTCTTGGATTTAGAAGCAGATTGTAGGTAAAATACTCTGATCAGAGAATCATAGAATGGTTTGGGTTGGAAGGGACCCTAAAGATCATCTTGTTCCCATGCCCTGCTGTGGACAGGGACACCTTCCACTAGACCAGGTTGCTCAGAGCCCCAGCCATCTCCATACTTGCAAGGAGACCTGCCTGTCATTCTATATGTGAAATGATAATCACAGCTAATGTCATTTTTCTAACGTGTATACAAAATTCTAGGGGATTTATTATTATTATTATTATTATTATTATTATTATTATTATTATTTCATCCTTTTGAGTTTTTTTTTTCTGCGTAACTTTCTGTGCAATACTATTTAGCTTGTTGCTAGACTGTCAAAGAGACATTCTCAAGGGAAGGTGGCACAGTTTTTCTGAGGCCACCTGTATTCTAAAAGGAAAAAATAGTCTTCATTCATTTTTAAATTAATTTAAAAGTGAGTTTGGGAGGAATTTGGATCTTTATTTCTTTTGTAAGCACAACAAGCTCTTGTTGAATGCTCGTTTCCATGATCTTCTTTAGCAGCATTAACTATGGTGTGAGATTTGAGAGGAATATAATTTAGGCAGATCTGTGTGTAGCAAGGTTTTGTTGACAGTTATATTGTCTCAGCAATGGTTCTAACACATCATTCAAAGTCGTCCGAGGTTCAGTGTCTTTCTGCCTGTTGGTTGGCTCTTTGTGAGGTTTATTATTGGATACTCGGTCTCATAATGGAGACAGGTGTTCAAGAAAAGAGTTCAGTGACATTCCCACCCAAACCCTTTTCCTGCATGCTCAGTTACAATTATCTTGATTGAGATACCAGTTTTATAGTTCATTGTATTTTTTTAATTTCGGGTGACTGTTTTAAATGTTTTAGATATGTAGAAGAAATTATGCTTTGAAAACTATTTATAACCTCGCAGAGCTGCTTCAGCAGAGAACAGACAGGGTGTTTTGTTTGAACATCCAGCAAGGCTTTAGGTTACTTAATTATCATCAGCTTTTATTCAGCTGAGTTTTTCCTGTGAGTGGAGAAGCTGCTCTTGACAGGGGTGTTCTGCACAGCACAGAGGAGAGTCCACTTCCCCACACACAGGAACACTTTTACCTGATGTGGTACCTCCTCTTGCCAAGGCTCTGGACACCAACAACACATCTCATGTTTCCCACTGTCTTCCTGTGACAATTTTTGGGAGGGCTTCTCAAATAATGAGAAAGGCCCTTCCAACTGTACCAACAGGATGGTCATCCAGTCACATCTTCTGCTTGTGTTTGCCAGATGGGACCTTAGATTTGGCAAGAGCCCATTTGTTTGTGAAATAGTTATAGGTTTTCTAGCAAGAGTGCAGTATAATACCAATTTTAGTAGTAAGTGGTACCACAAAACGCAAACTTTAATTATTTTAAAACTCATAAAACAACTTTAACATTGTTTTCAAATTAACTTTTGAACTAGTGCTGTTTCTAGGCATTTACTTTACATATAGAGGGGAAAATATTAAAAAATATAGGGGAAAATTCTGTATAAGAGAAACGCTGTTTGCTTCCTGGATACAGAATTAATCAGAATTGAATTGGTGATTGTTTTTACAAATATATCTGAGATTTGGAGAAAATACCGTGTTTCTTCATAAACTATGAGCCCTTTTTTTTTTTTTTAGGAATGAAAAGTGTTAGGATTTTATTCCTTATTTTCTTTACTTTTTTTATCTCTTCCCCAAATATACTCCTAATAATTATTGCTTCATCAGTCAGTGAATTGGAAATTTCCAGAAAATACTGTGCAGTATTATACATTTAGATCAAAATAGAATTCCTGGGCAATTGCTGTTGGTGATTGCTAGACAGGAGATGCTTAACTGAACTTGGTTTTACTTGGTGCAGTTGGCTCTTGTATCCATCTTAGTGTAAATTGGTTCATGAGGTTTCTGAGAGATCAGATCTGGAGGAACACTGTTAATCTAATTAAGATATTAGGATTTTTTATGGACAGTACTATGCTTCCTCCTCACCTGCTTTTCTCTTTCCTCTGCCATCTGCATTACTGCTCCCTGCTGAAAATGGCAGTGGGAAAGCAGAGGTAAATTCACTTAATGTTATAAGAACACTGTTCTTGAGCATGTCAGAGTGTGCTAGCATGATCATTGGGTATGTGGAATTTGTACACAGGGGGAAGAAAATAGAGTAAAACCAGGAAAATTCTGTTGAGCAGGATCTTTTGGTGAGTTTTCAGTTTCTCTGGTTTTTAATTTATTTTTTCCCTGAAAGAAGAAACAAGGAGTTCCTTAATGTACTGCCTGGTGAGTTTGCTGCAGGAACAGCAGGGGTATGAGCAGGGCCAGTCCACCAGAGCCTATAGGCAGCCACAGAGTAGAAAACATTCTGTTCATTATTTCTGCCCTTTCCCTTCTCAGCTTTTTACTCCCTCTAGTTAATGGGAGATAGATCTGAAACATACAAGGGAAATAAAAAGTAGGACAATGTTAGAAATAACAGACAATTCTTGATAATAATGGGGCACTGAAGGTACAGTGCGTGTGTGATTTATTGTGGTGTCTTGTAGTAAACTGGGAAAGAAAATACTGCTCTTGAGGTTTTTTTTCTGTCTTTCTTAATATAAAATTATAAAAGCTAATGGACAATGAAAAATTCTGCTATCTGCAACATTATCCTCATATTTGACCTTGCTAGATGATGGAATCAGGAATGTGTCTATATCATTCTTCGCTTGTGGTACCACTTTGGCCTTTATAAAACTCTTCATTTTGTAAAGAAGCAGTTCCCTGGTTTTTTTTTAGTGATAAGTATTTTCCTTTTCCTTCCTTCCTTCCTTCCTTCCTTTCCTTCCTTCCTTCCTTCCT